TTGCTAACTACTTTGTCGTTATGATGAAAGAAAATGGCATTACTGATGAATGACTTGTCGGTTTATGTTTAGACCTGGAGTTATCCGTCATATTTTAATAGATCAAAACGTTATCGAAATCAGCCAGGTAATTGGACAAACAACATGCCCACTTTGTGCACGAAATTGCGGACAGAAGGTTTAATGCGGTATCGTAAATATTAAAATAACTGAGAATCAAACAGTACCTAGAGCCGCGTTCTCTCGTGATTAAAGCCAGTAATTTAATACATTGCAAGAAGAAAACAAGTGCATGCGGTCCATTCACTTCATACGCTTTTCCGCAAGACAACGAGTGGTATGATTCGGGAGAAAACTATCTAAACATTTATCCTATCAAAGTTAATCATCAGAAAATTCCAGCATGGTGTTCAAAGTGAGATTTCCTGTACCGGATTGAATTTGTCAGCCCTTTTTCCCTGAAAAAGTCATGTCATTGCTTGTGAGAAGGTCATGAAATTGCTTGTGGAAATATTCTTTGGTCTCATTGGGTCATGCAAAATTTCAATAAGTGGAGGTTAAGTAAAAATCTCTGTATGGAAGTCTGTCACAATGACAAACATCGTAACCATGATGACAGTAATTTACTCTTCACAGTTTTTATATCAATATTCAAATGTATATACTGGAAGTGTCCATTGACTGTACACCACAGTTTTTAGTAGGGAGGGGGATAAAAAATCATAATCTAAAACAAGCCTTGCTCTCAGGGTTTGGGTCTACTGACACCTTGGGAATAAAGTTAATGTTTGAGTGTGACAATGTTATTTGGAAATGTAAATAATTATTGTTAGCAAATGTATTTTGACACATAGACTTGTCTTATGGTAAGAGTATAATCCATTCTGCTCTAAGTGATTAACAAAATTTCTTTCTTTCGTGTTGTCTTTCAATTTGATTGTAGAAAGGAGGAAATATAGACCAGGGACTAGAGCTCTGATGGAAATTAAACATTACCAAAAGACAACTCATCTCTTACTCAGAAAAAGTCCTTTCTTCAGGGTGGTAAGTTTGATGTTAAGTTAAACATGAATGTTGCAAAGTTTGGTGTTGTATTAAGAAACTTTTAAGTGCTGCAATGTCACTTTTATCATTTAAAAATTTAAGGTTCAACTTTCAGCATAATGTTACCAGCAACAAGCATTGTAATGGTTTTATTCAATGTTATAACTGGTCACTGCAGTCATCCCCTTTATTTTGGTCTAAAGCAAAATTATTGGTTTCAGTTTGTTTCTTTTCATATCCATGACCTTGGTGTTGAAACAAAAGTGGCCATTTCTGAATTACATGAAGTATCTTTGTTTTTTATTTCCAGCATAATTCTCACATTTGAAAATTAGATTTAATTCAGGTTAAAATTATATGAATAGTGGCACACTGATAGCCTTTCTTGCATTGAAAAAGATCATTGCAACCCAGAAATTGAACTCTCATTGGGCTCTGCTCTACCAAGCCTAGATGTCACTGCACTGGAATTGAACTTTGGTATAGGGTTATCTGACTCGTATAACTTTTGAGAGTTTAACACACCAGATTTTTTAGAATAGAGGCCTCATGCACCTGGTTATCATCTATCATCACATCCTTTTTCTATATTAATTGCTTTCAATGAATAAGAGAACTTTAATGCGTTGTTATTTTTCTTGTCACTAACCATTTGCAGAATATTTGGAATGTACAGAGACTTTTTAGAGATTCTCAACAACTTCTTAACCATAAACTTAGTTACTGATATGATTAAATCCTTTAGTGGACCTTGTGTGGCACAGTACTGGTAATTTTAATCACAACCACCACTTTCTTTTTCAATTTGATAGTGTAATTGATATCACTTGGCTAGAACGTTTAGATTTTCTTGCTATGTTATTGCAAAATTATACAAGTAAGCTCTTTTATCTTTAGTTATACGTATATGTACAGAGGTTACATATTTTAGTTTATTGTTTGTTATAGGTCAGAGAAATTGCTGACAAGTTTTACCAGCAGGTAGAGTTAAGGTGGCAGGCAACAGCATTGCTAGCATTACAGGAGGTAAGGAATTCTATGAAATTTTTGCTGTATGGTTTATTCTACCCTATGTATATCTACATTGTTAGTTTAATAATTTGCAGAAGTGTTAAAGACATAGTGATACATTTGGTAGATGTTGTGCAAAAGTAATTTTTAACTTTGAGGCTGGTTACTATGGGAGGGGGGGGTGTGAATAGGTTTTCCATCCATTGATATTTTACTTATTTGGGTGATTTTATCCCTGGAAAATGTTTCATTATAACTTATTACCCAGTAACACTTGTCCACAATAGTTTATAGAGGACTCTGCACTTGTTAATACAGTTGTACATTCTTTGAAGATGTTTGTTGTTTCTGTTTTCAGGCAGCAGAAGCATTCCTTGTTAGACTTTTTGAGGATGCGTACCATTCATGTTGTTTATATCCATCACAATGTTATTTTTTTGTTTTAATACCTTGTTCCCTTTTACTCTCTTCATTTATAGTTGTTTACTAATTCATTCTCAAACATTCTTTATTTGTGTAATATAATCAGTGTGCTTCAACTTAATTGTATGTTATTTTATTGGAAATTTTACATTTACACATGTAAATGAATGTGCATGAGTGAAGTATTTATTTCTTTATTGTAATGCATGTAGATTTAAATGACAATTGGTTCCTGTATTGTTCTCTTTGTTTTTCTTGTTTCTTTTACAGTAATTTGTGCGCCATCCATGCCAAAAGAGTCACTGTCATGCCCAGGGACATGCAGCTGGCCAGGCGAATCCGTGGACGACATGATGGGCTTGGTTGATTGAAAATGAATATTTCATCACTTCATAAACCAAACTATGGAAGAGCACTTTTATTTTTTAAAAAGATTTATTTTACTTCATGTAATATTTTTTGAGCAACTTTTAGTTTTTCTATTTTTCTATTTTGTTTTATGTAACTTAAATGCATGCTTGAAGTAAATTTTAAATCACTTTGAATGTTTGAAATGAGTGCTGTAATTATTTAACGGAACTACTCATACACCAGAAGGAAATAAAATTATTTACTAGACTAAGTACTGTACACTGTCTTTAAGTTGTCTGTTTCTTTTTTGATAGTGACCTTTTTTAAACAAGTTGGACTCACCACACTTGGTTCAAAGCAGCTCTACTTATCTCTAATACTACTGAAGTAAATTATAAAATATTGGATAAATCGAAAGAGACCGTTTACATTGTTCGTGTTTGTACGTTACTGTTTGCCAGTGTGCTTTAAAAAAAACTGTTGCGTATTATTTTGAGATTAATTGAAAATACCTTCCTAACAATAACACTTTTGTCATTAGAACCTTTACACCTCATGGCTGAGTGTATGTTTTTAATAGTCCTAATCGTTTTAATTGATTATCACAACGCGAACCTTTGTTTCGCTGCATGTATACCATTCTTAGCTCCTTTCTCCGTCGATCAGGTTAAGATTTCTCTTCTGCTAATCACTACCCCTGAACATCTTTCAAAAAGTGGTAAAAACAAGGATCCTCTAGTGAGGCTTACACAGCCGATGAAAAGTTTTCGAGTATCATCATTCAATCCCGCCCCCATACGGAACATAGTCATCATGGGCAAACTCGAACATAAAGGTTTGGAAAGCCAGTCTAGTCTAGTCTAGTTTGTATACAAAATGCTTAGATGCAGTGTTGATGGTGGGTAGTGCTTTTTAGCTTCCCGAAAGTACAATATACGCTGAAGGAGGGTTTGTTGCTGAAACTGCAATGGAGTGCGCGTGGCTTATAATCAGCTGTATATTGTTTTTATTTGTATTTTTTGTATGTATTTTTGTGTAATCAGTTAACAATGTATTGATGTGCACATAAACGTCTGCTGTTATTGTTTTTTTTGCTAATGACTGACGTTGGTTTCGAGTTTTTCAAGCAATAATGAACTTAAAACATTTCAGACTGATCAGTTTAGTATTAGTTGGGGCGATGATGTTTCGGAAAACGGTGATTTGCAGTTATTCAACCACAGCGTTTTCGCGTCTTTTACGAACGACATGAAAAAAGACCGTTGTTAAGATTATACAGCCCGTTCATAAAAGAATTTCCGTCCAAAGTGGGCTGGTACGATTGCGGAAAATAGCACCTCTCCTACGAAACAAAGCAAACCATAAGAAGCCTATCAAAAAAATTAAACGCAGTAAACGTTACCAATTCTTTTTATACTGTGCAGGAATTTGAAATCATATGAAGCTTAGATCTATAACTAATGATCAAATCAGAAGTGATTTTTTTGGTTAGTCTTGTTCTTTGTTAAAATTAAACCCATATAACAGGCGTTGAACTTCGCCTACAATTTTAAAACATCTTTCCGGAGTTTGCAACACTTGAGCGGTGAATTATACAAGGTACCACGGCGACTCAAATCAGATCGGAAGTGAAAGAGATTTTGTTGAAATGACCATTGTTCTTTGGCTGGACCATCAGTTGCGGTCAAAAGATAACTTGAAAAACGGTTTGAGAATGGAAAGGACCATTGTGATCTTCGAATGAGTGGGTACCCTTTTGAAAATAATACATGTCAAATATTACCTTAAAAGGAATTCAGTGATATCGAACAACCACTTAGTTTACTATATGAGAGTGAATGAATGAATTGTCGTTTAACACAAACTGTATTCAAAGCAAAATAGTCACGCAGCAAAACCCACAACTCCTACCTCAATGCTGACTCTGGAACAGAATACAACTTCACATGTGCGCCAAAATATTTTGTATAGTGTAGCAGTTCATTCATGGTGTAGTGATACAAAAACAGTTGTTTTGAGCGCGCCAAATGATGTTACATTATTTTCTTAGCCTTAATTCTATTACTCACGATTGCTGAGCGGTCAAATGTGACCCCTTTCACGTGCCCTTTCCGGTGCCTCCCAACTTCCTCCCCCGGCCAATATGACGCAAGCGCAGAGCGAATCGGAAGTGGTTTTAATAACACGATCATGGCCGCCGGTTGAGTCACTCGCAGTTTACCTTTTGCCTCAGTGATTTACGCGCGAAATGGGCTCGAGATTAAGGTAAAAGCTTAACGTAAGGGTGACTCATGGATCTTGATTTTTATTGACAACTGATTTGTTTCAATCAGGCCTTTCCCTGAGAGGATTTTTGAGTGCTTTTTGGAAGTCGCTGCCCCGACAGATAGTGAAGGTACGGTCACTGTGTACATTTCACCTGGAAATACAATCTTTTCTGTGCAGACAGTCGAGTCCTATAACCTCTTTTCTCTTAGCGACAATTTCTCTTATAACATGTCATAGTGTAATATTCCCGAGGAGATGTGCACAGACTCAAAACTCGCATCATTTCAGTGTAAAATTAACCTATCTGAGGTATCGTGAATTGGCTCGCGTAGTTAGAAATCTTGAGTAACATTTTTTTATACTTTGACCTTTGTTGTTTTTATGATGACCTGCGTTTTTCTGTCAGTTCACAATAAATACTTGCTCCATCTAGGGGGAGTGTCATTATTGGCTAGAAATCTGGACATATATGCACTTATTGCGATTCAAAAATTAAAATATAGACCACGAAACAAACGAGTTTTGATCTTACACTTGTTGAATGGAAGGGAGAATATAAGTTCCTCCTTACGTGATGGGAATAACAAAACCCATAATTACATCGCGGAAACTGCATTATTATCAAATATAAATAGTGAACGTACATAATTGTGATCGTTTCTTGCAATGTTTATATTTAAACACAATGAAAAAGTCGAATTGCATGTAATTACACGCGACATGATGTTAAGTACTTTCGTTTCCTTTGTTTTACTGTTTTCGATCGCATGGTTTATGAAATGGAAGTCATTTCCTTTGGTGTTTGTAGTCTTACTAGATGATATCTAGACTAAAGTTAAAAAATCTTCATGATAGAATGTTTGGGAAGTTGTTCGTATGCTATTTGCTTTTTTGCTACAATTGCAAATGGTATGGTAATCAAATTCAGCAAAAGTTATGCTATCCTTCCAGCTAATGGGGCTCTTTTTCCCTTTGGGGATTTTTGCAGACATATTTTTTTACATTATACAAAAGTATTGTGCATATTTTAAAAATTTAATGACCAATTTTAATGTGAAATAGTTACAGTGAGGTGTGAATTGACCACCAAACTATTTAGGAGCTGAAGTATACACGTTGGATCAGATGACAGATTCCAATACAATTCTAGGTTTCCAGCAGAATTAGGAACATTAAGAATTAATTTCATTTTCATATTTGGTGCTACATCGAGTTTGGAAAATGGCTTGATGAGTGTCTGAACCAAAGCTGCTCCACAGGGGTTCCAAAGGCTAGGAAGAAGGGCCCAGTGGCTCCAAATTGGAATTCCTTTTTACGATATACCACACAAGTGAACAGTATTTTTTTTGTGAACTGATTGACTAGTTCATAGGTGAGCAGCCAATAAGACAAAACCACATGTCAAGAGTTTAATTTTCAACCTTTTTTTGGAATATTGAAAAAATAAATAAATTTTCGTATAGTTGTTTATTTTTGATTCTGACATCTAACTGTCCAACCCCACCTCCTATGTAGTCATATACTTCAATCAGGGTATTAAGATTACTTCCTGAAAGTCTTTAACAGGACCTGGCATTGGTTGTTATGATAATTTGTGCCTTTTCAATTTTTACATTTGCTGATTTGATGCATTGGTTTTCTTGTAGGTCCAGAAACAAAGTTTATTCATCCCACAGACTTTGATGAAAAAGTAGGTGTTTGATCAAATGCCACCAAATGTGAGAACAGATAGTGTAACCTTATCTTGTTGTCAAGATGACAACTTATTTAAAATTGAATTGACCTTTTTCAGGAAGCGTTAAAGGCAATTCCTCAGTTTTGCTATCCTTGTGTCACAAGTTCGTAAGTATACATCAAATCATGTTGTAAGTTGTAAATGTTTAGATTGAATATTCCTCAACCTTTTAAACACTGAAAGTGATCAACTTCCCCTTATCATACCATAGTTTATCTTTCATGGAGGAAATGAGGTGGGACAAACTTATCAGCTGTAGGGTGATCAAGCAATTTTCATCGAAGTGTCAAAATTAATCATGGATTGCTTTAGTTTTGTTTTGCCTCACTATGTGTGTGTGATTAGTCCAGAAAACTAGCATGAGTTTTCAGACTAATCAGTTGCAAACCAAAACCAACTGCAGTTTGGACTCTTGAGTTTTCTGGCCCTCAGAGATGATTGCTTGTTTTTACCTTGAGTTCTCATGGGTTCCTCTGGACATCTTATTTTACTCTGATTGGTTATTGTGAAAATTATCAAATCCTCTCAAATCTTGGGAATCAAAAGGGTTAAGCTAGTGTGCTATTTCAAGGTAATGTTATCAGCAACAGGTTTGTGACGAGAAGTAGACAAAATGTTTTCTTCTTTACAGGGAAGCTGTCCAGCACTACACTTTTGTTCTCACTGATATTGAAGGAAAGTATAGATTTGGGTTTTGCCGCTATTCTCCAGATGTCAAGACCTGCCTCTGCATTTTAAGGTATTATACTTAAACAGATGATTTAGTGTTTTTAACACTGGCATAATTGTTTTGTTGTTGTTTTTTAAATATTAAACTACAGCTGTTAACTGATTAAAATACTTAAGTTTGTTTTTTCAGGTAAAACATGACATTGATAGTTTCACCTCTGATTTCAGCTATTTGCCGTGGTTTAAATTTTTTTATGAGCTTCTGAATAGGATTTCAGACTTGAAGAGAGAAAATGAGGTAAAAATGTTCCATAATTATGCTTATTTGCTTTTTGTGTACTGTTAGAACATATTATTTTATAACAGTTGACAATTTGAGAATGCAATGGCATTCTTTCTGTTTGATGAACAAAGATTTTAAGGTAGAAAATATAAATTGTGCATGTATTATATATGTCTATTTAATAGCTATTTTCAAATTGGTATCTTCACTTTCAGCATTTGCCTCTAGGGAAAACAAAAAGTGTTGTTGAATTTTCATAGCTCTAGATTTCTAAAATACAGCAGTTAATGTTATATATTGGCCAAAGGAAGCAATTTTGAGTTATAGTGTATTTTTGCTGTCCAGTGTAAGCTAATTAAGCTGTGATATATAAACTGGAGAAAGTTTTCATGTTATTGTTGATGAAGTATATTAGTTTTGTGTAGGAGCATTGTACTGAAACACAAGCAAGCTTGGTATCAATATTGTAATAAATATTAGGCAGACTTTTTTTATGATAATTTGGCACACTGTGAGTTGTGTTGTGTACTACATAGTTTTTTGTTTGGTGAAGTTTGCTGAATTTTAAGAGTCTAAGTTGAGTTTTTTTTTCCCCGGCTCTAAATAGAAATGGAATAGTGTCTATCATTTATGACATTTTGTTATGCAATATACAGATTAATGCCATACTTCCAATACTGAATCATCTATATGGTCAAGCACCTAAAGAACCAGGCTCCAAGTTATCTGTTGCAGTGGATGGAGGCAAAAGAGTAAGTTACCACACAAATGTATCTTATGAGTGGTGAAGATTGCTTGAGGATAAAACAACTGTTTTAAAAAAATTGTTTTGATTTCAATCATGTAGGCAGGTTCCTGTTTAATTAATAGTTTCAACCAGTACCTAGCTGCCTAGTAAGGAATAGGGGTAATCAGCTTGTTGAGTAGTTCCTAATTTTTGCAGGTCCATAGCAGCCTTGTGTTGCCTCAAAAATTTATAAAAGAACAGTGTGATTGATCATTTGATGGCTTCTAACTGAAGCTGTATTGTGGTTCAAAAATACAAGCCTTCATAAGAGTTAGTAAATCAACAGTATGTTTGCTGATATTTCAAGTTTTGTAATTTGGGATTAGCATCCTTTAACCTACTATTTTTTCTCATAGAGTTCATTAATTTTTAAATTAATACAATGTTATTTTTGTTGCATTTTAGGATATTTCCTTTGTTGTGCCAGACACTACTAAGCTACCCAGTATACCAGATGATGTGAGTGCCTTGAAGCTACTAGCTGTGTCATGTTTTATCAACTTGAAATAGTTAAATAGGCAAATTATTTATCCTGCCTTGGTGCCCTGATTTATGACTTAATTTTAAGGAGAAAGGTAACCTTTTGTTAAATGTGTGTAAAGAGTTCTAAGGAGGGTATAGTGCTGAAATTGAGTGGGATTTAAAATACTGTATATCCTAACATAGGAAATTAATGCCTCACAAGGAGCATTCTCTCTACTGTCCTTTGTTAAAATAAAGTACCTAAGATGAATAGCCATTAATTCCACTGCCAAAATTTACTGGAGTGTACAGTATGGAGAATTTGGGGCCAAAATGATGGAGATCAACAATGTTGATATCAATGGGCCTCTCGATTAAAAGCAAAGAGACAAAGGCAGCAAAAGTTAACTCATCTTGAGTTAAAGAGATTGTCCTTAATTTATGTCGATCTCATGAAGTATATAATTTATTTTCCTGAAATAATGCAGTGGCAAGTGGGGGCATTATAACCCAGTAAGATTAAAGGCATTTAACAAATGATGGGTATGTTTGTTTGTTTGTTTGTTTTTACAGAGGAACCTGACAGATTACTTTGCCGCTGTCCATCCCTCAAATATGATTTTTATATTTGCCAGGTAAAGGTTCCTTTACTGCTACATAGTACATGTACATTTTGTACTTTTTGCATTTAAATATCTAAACGACTATTTGCTGTTATGGTGTAGATATTGCCAGGTTCCTGGACTCCTTGCCACTTGCCAATTGATAAGTTCACCTTAATTAACTGGTGTATGTTTGTGTTGATAATACTTTACAATTGTCTCTCTTAGTATGTTCTTTGAAAGAAGGATAATAGTGACATCCAAGAAGCTTAATTTGGTATGTTGATTCTGCATTATTTAAATAAGTGTATTGTTTACACTTTAAAACAAGATTTCCTAGAAGGAACGTCTTGCTGTTGTGTTTAGTAACTTAAAAGTTTTTGCAGTATTATTAGAGGCACAAACTGTTTTGACTCATTGTTCATCAAAATCAATATCCTTTTTCAGCTAACTGCTTGTACATATGGAGCATCATCCCTTTTATATCCGATGCACTGGTAGGTTTTATTTCCTTCCCTCACACCAGATCATACCTTAATTATGCATCATTAAAGAAGATGGTTGGCTTTCTCTAGATTCAAAGTGGTGTAGTAAATGCTTTTTTGTTAGTGGTGTACATTTTCAGTATGCTGTAATTATAATACTTTTTCATCATTTTATAGGCAACACATGTTTGTTCCTATTGTGCCACGGCATCTGTTGGACTACTGTTGGTAAGTATGTAAACAATGGCTTACAGCTTTTACACTGACAATTTTGATTTTTTGTCATAAAAAAATCAGTACCATAACACTAGCAAATATATGGTAATAAGAGAATAACATATTTACATATCTTTAACAGTGCACCAATGCCATTTTTGGTGGGAGTTCATTCATCACTAATGTCGGTATGTACTAAAAGTGAAGTGAATTTTTAAAACTAATTAGGGCTTAAACGTAAACAAGTAGTCAGTCACAGATCTATACAAAAAAACAAACATACTCACTAACTAATTTGCAGTCTCTCAACGGCTATTTTGAGTGGAGACTTTCTAAGCCATTGCATCATGTGTCTTTGTAGATTGATAGATATTTTAATGTGTGGCTTTTGAATGCAATTTGTTTAAATTTCATGGAATCTGTTTGTTAAAAGTTTTAGTGTCCTGAATGTATTTGAATTTGAGGTTAATTTTCCTTTTTTTGCTATGCATTTTTAGAAAGTTCGTCTAATGCCACTTGATGAAGTTGTTATTTTTGATGCTGATACAAATACAATAGAAAGTCCATTTGATGATGTAGCACAGCTTCCTTCTGATGCAGTAAGTTTCAATTACTGACTATTGCTAATGCCTAACAAAGTTTCAGTTTAGTAACAGTACAATTATATTTTGTAATAAGATGTGTGTTTAAGCTTGTGGGCTCCTTAACAGAATGATCATTTCCCAGCTTACTGCTCAGACACCTGACCACATTTGTGTAGCTGTTACTTGGGAGCTTTTATTAAAGGTATCTTTTGGTAATTGATATTCCAGGGAAAGCTGGAATAGAATGAGACAGGATTCATAGGATTGATAGGAGGCAGTGTGACTTAGTGGTTAGGGGATGGGGCTTATGAACTGGTGGTCCCAGGTTCA